TATAAATATAAAAATTATTTAAATAAATATAATTTTGGTTTTTAAATCGTAGAAAATTATAGGAAATTAAGAAAAATACAAATACTCTTTTAAAAATCATAATTAAATATTAAAAATCGTAGAAAATTATAGGAAATTAAGAAAAATACAAATACTCTTTTAAAAATCATAATTAAATATTAAATAAATACTAGAAAATTATTTTAACTAGTATCAAAACTTCACGGTCCTTACACTGTTGTTGAAGAATCCTTTCAGTTTTGATCTTCTGCACTCGATTCAAAAATTCTATCCCCAAGGATTTCGTCTCTCCTGCCTCTTTGTGCGGTTGAGATCCTGCAGAAATTCCAAACCCGTACGGTTTAGATGCTGAAAATCTAACCTTGCTGCCTCTCCGTTCCAAAAAGCCAGCCTTTAACTCAGTTGAGTTTGTTAAGATTTTATAGGTGGATAAGAGGTTGTAACTGCCCTCTAAATCTGCTCCTAAGTGGGCGTGATTTCCTCAGATCGTGGGGAAAACAGTTCTGAAACCGTTCGACTCATGTTTGAACGAGTCAAACGCCCAATCTGGCGTTCAGAACCCCAACTTCGGGTCTTAGAATTAAGACGCAAGGTTGGGTGTTGACTGAACATCAATGAACGCGAGGGTCGCTCGTGTTTTGCTTGTTACAGCTTGAAAACACTGGGGTCGGGTGTTAGTTGAACCTAAAGAACGCGAGGGTCGTTCGCGTTTGAATTGTTGTAGCTTAGAAATGCGGGGGTCACCTGCACTTCCAGAATTATAACGCGGGGATGACTTCTGCGTTTTAAAAGGGGTTAGTTGATCTGTAACCTCTTCTACAGAGCGTTGCAAGGACCGTCGTTCAGTAATCCTAGCTTTAGCTGTTGTGGAGTGTGAAAATCGTCAGATTGTAACTTTTACTGTAGATTGTGAAGACCGCTGAATAGAGCTTTCATCAGTTGTCGGAAGTGTCGTTGAATTGTAACTCTTCTCGATCTATGTGAAAAAGCTTCGGCATGAAAGCTATCTGATTGTAGCTTTCATTGTTGGAACTTGATGGGGATCAATTGTCCATTGTGATTTTTAGACGAATATTTGCCCACAGCTCTCTACCAAGCAACTCACCAACTAAGTCCAACCTTTTATTTCTGAAATTATTACACTGCTCATCAGCATCTCTAATAGTTGCTAATATAATATTATTTATGTTGTTATTGCAGTCATCAAGATCAATCATCTCAAATATGAGGCCGTATTTGTAGTGACTGTAGAGTTGCGGATGCAGTGATTAGAAAGTCGTCTGATTGTAACTTTCATTGTCGGGGCTTGATGGGGATCAACTATCCATTGTGATTTTTAGACAACCTACAAACCTGTTGTATTTCTCCTCCATATAGTGAAATCTCACCATCCTTTCCCCGTGGACATAGACAATTGCCGAACCACATAAATCTATGTGTTTAATTTGATTTGTGTTGTATTTTGGTGAATTGCACTCGTAATTTGGTTTGGTTCTCTTCTCTCATCGCTCACCGACTCGTTTGGTTGTCGAGCACTCCGCACGGCGCATAACAATTAGTATCAGAGCTCTAGGGTTTGAGATCTAGGGTTTTGACATTAGGTGGAGGAAGATTCATTGTGGAAGCTTGGTTCTTAGAGTTCTAGGCTTCGGTGGAGATTGCGTTACGGAGTTGCCATTGGGATCTCGCTTTCCTTGTGTGGTTAGGAGATCTATTTAGAATCTAATCTAGGGTTCAATTTGTAATTTCTCAATCCTATTAAAGTTTGAATCTTTCTTTGTAATTTGGAGCTTGTAAGCATGGGAGAAGAAGTTGGTGAAAGCAGCAAGACGATGGCGAGTATAGTTCAGATTAGATTTCAAAACACTAAGATTAGTGTGGTGAAATATGACGATAAGATTAATTTTGGTTTGTGGATGAGCGACGTACATGACGCTCTCAATGCTTAAAATTTGGAGGAGACTATCATGGTCCATGAGAGGCCACCAAAATATGAAGAAGCGGTATGGGAAAAGATGAATATGAATGCTTGTGGGGTGATCAGGTCTTATTTGGAACAGGAGCTGAAGTATGATGTGATTGTTAGCTTGACTCGGTCATGGATAACCAAATCAACCACAGTTTCTCAGTAGAAAGAATCGTGTAGAACATGAATTAGGGTTTGTTGAGAGATTTTCTCTCAGAGGCAGTTTGAGAGGGATGAAGATGATGGGATTTCGGCCTATAAATAGAGGAGTAATCTCCCTGAGAAACCACAACGAAGAAAAAGAAGAATCAAACCCTTACCCATTACCGGATCCCCCCTCAAAGATATTCTCTTTCTCATGTTCTCTGTAAATCGAACACTAGTATCAGAGCAACGTCGATCTCCACACCGCCTTCTCGAGCTTTACGTTCGAACGTCAACGATGACTGCTTCGTTTGAGGGCTATTTCGCTTGACTACGACGACGACGATTGCGCTTCGATCGATGACGACGACGACGACGACGACGACGACGACTCAGCATCCTTTTCTTTAATAGCATCCTTTACATTCTTGAGTTGTAGAGGAACTCTACGATTCACTAATAGCATAATATTCTTTAATGGATCCTGATATTCTTTTAATTGCCGAACTCATTGCAAATGATAGTATTAGCCCTTATAACTAACTATAGATATTCCCTAGAATTAAGATTTTAGAAATTTTCATCTCATTTGAATCCTCTCCAATGTAAAAAAAAGTAGTTGAAAGACTGCTAATTTTAGCTAATTTTAATCAAAACTAAAATTTTTAATGAATGACTGTAACTCATCATCTTTCAAGTGCAAAATAAGAATAAATGCATTTTTTTACAGTTAGAGGGTCTCAAATCTGGCCTCACAAACTCATAATAAGAACATAATAAGTATCATATTTAGAACAATCAAAATCTTTCACAATCACCTATCTATCTATCTATCTATTCTACCTATTAAATAATGAACGGTTAGTACAAAAAGTTTGCTCATTATATATATATATATATATATATATATATATATATAATATATATATATATATAATATATATATATTATAATATATATATTATATATAATATATATATATATATATATTATATATATATATATATATATATATAGTGAGAGGTTCTAATAAAAACTAGAGAACTTAAAAACCTATCCTAACCTCCATCTATCTAATCCAATGGCCTAGATTTCGATGGCAGAATTGTAAATATAGACAAATTTAATACACTGCATTAATGTGAAAAGGGTAAAATTGGAACAATTCATTGCATTAATGGTGACTGATTACATTGAACAATGATACAAATTTAATACACGTCCTTATATACCTTCTCTATACTATAGAGCAATTTCCTCTCACGTTCTCTCTCTCTCTCCTCCATTTCAAAGCTTGAACCAGCCCCCTCTCTTTCCTCTCTCTCACCACCACAAACACCACTAACTCTCACCGAGCTCCTCCAACCCACTGCCTGAGCTCCCTCCGACGAACCGAAGCCGCTCTGACGAACCGAAGCCGTGATGAATCCAGATTCACTAAATTGAATCCAGATTCAGTGAACTGAAACTCGTTATCAACAATAGCAAATCTGCAAAAAATAAACAAAAAGAATAAGAAACTTATGGATTCACTAAAATCCATCCTAACCATCCAAGCTTTCCTGTAGTGAATCTGGATTCACTGCAATCCGCATTCCCATCAGGATCTCGATTCACATCAAGTGAATCCGATTCCAGCAGTGAATCGCGATCACTGAGTGACCGATTCAGCTGAGTGAATCGAGAGTTCCAGCTGCAGTGAATCGATTCAGCTCAGTGAATCTCGATTCACTCAGTGAATGCCGCCGATTCACTCAGTGAATCGCGATCACTGGCTGTGAATCGAGATTCACTGGATGGAATCGAGATTCACTGATGTAATCCAGATTCACTGCTGTGAATCGAGATGGCGGAGGTCCGGAGGAGTTGGAGCGGCGGTAGCTGGACGTGGAGGCGCTGCTGTCGGAGCTGACGTGGTGGGAGGGATGAGGCGAGGTCGGAGGCGGGGATTTGTTCGAGATGGCGGAGCTCGGAGTTGTATGGCAGTGAGGAGGGCCGAGGGTGGCGCTGGAGGTGGCGACGAGAGAGGAGGGCGGCTTGGGGAGGAGTTCGCTGCAGCCAAGGGTTGGGGACGAGCTCAGGCGAGGGCGGTGGGAGGCGGCGCGAGCTGAGGCGCGCACAGGGTCGAGCTCAATGGGAGCGACGGTCGGCGCTTGATAGAGTTGATGGTGCGGTGGTGATGGTCTGAATAAGAAGAATGGGAGAGAGGAAAGATGGGGGGGTTGTACCTGAGAGAGGTGTGACTTTTGGAACTCAACAGTCACATTAATTACCTCTCTTGGAAGCTGATAAATTTCCTGATTTACCACTTATGGCAGGCATTATTGTCTTGATAATCTCAGCCATTGAATTGAATCTCAATCCAACGGAGGTGGATAGGTTTTTAGTTTTAGGCATAGTGAAGTTGTGCATTTGAACCTCGCCATAGATATACACACACACACACACACACACACACACACACACACACACACACACACACACACCACACACGACACACACACACAACACACTACACACACACACACACACACACACACACACCACACATCACAAACACACACCACAACCACACACACACACACACACACAAGACACACACATACACACACACACACACACAGTTTAGAGAGTGGCCCAAATCTTGTCTCACAAATACAAAAGCAACCCACATGAAGAAACCCAAAACATGTCCTCATCCGTCTATCCGTTTCCTACAACAACGTGTCTCCTTCCAACACGCTACGTGTCAACTAACCACGCCTCCTCACGCCACCAGACTTCCACGTTCATGCGCACGTGTCATATCACTCCCGCAAACCTCGACTCTATCCCTTCTCTTATATATCTCTCTCATCACCAATAACTTCTGCAAAAAAAAGGGAAAAATTAACAAAGAAATTAAGCGATGCAGGCTCATCACCAAGAACACCCACACTGTAAGCAGATCAAAAGTCCTGCATCGATCAGTCGTTTTGTCTCAGAGTAATTTAACAATTTCATTCGAATTTGTTTTGCAGATGAAATAGGAGGAGAGCAGGAGCATGATAAGAAGCCAGTGATGAAGAAAGTGAAGGATAAGGTGAAGAAGCCGGTGATCAAGATGAAGGAGACTATCAGCAAGAAGATGCATCATGGACATGATGATGAGCATAACGATGAACATCGCGAGCGCGAGCATGATGTCGAGGATGTTAGCGAAGAGGAGCAAGGGTATGAAGAGGATGAAGAGGCGGAGCCGGATCCTGAGGTTCATGGCGCGCCCAGTGCGTACCTCTTTTTTCTTTTCTTAAAATATTAGAGATACTTTCGACTTTAAGTTACATTGTTGTTCTTTTTTTTTAAATTAGTTCTCACTGGTGAACTTATTATCATAATTTGACAGTTATATAGTATTGTTATACAGATACAAATTTAGATTATAATTTCACATAATTAACAAAATGAATGCACTCAATATATATCTTTTCTCTTTGAAATTTATCCTATAGATCGTGATGGTTCTAATTGGTTTTTGTGATTGTAGTGTATGAGAGCCCTGCGACTAGTCATTTAATTGGTGGACAGAATGAGAATCTTGGACCAGGAAAGTTTGGCCTGAGAGAGGCGATGCCTGCGACGGCCATAGAGGATCCTGCAGCACCGAAGAACACGGGTGACGAGAGTAGGCTCATGTATCCTTCTGCAGATAAAAACCCAGAAAAGGTCAGTTTGGGGGACATAATTGGGACCGTCGATGAGGATGCAGCTGCTCCAAAGGGTAAGACAGAAATTCCAACTTCTGGGGGTGAAGAGAGCCAAGCGATAGTCTCTTCTCCTACCGCAGGTACACATTTCTATGTTTTGAAGTATTTTTGAAGTTCTGAAAGCACATAATCAAGAAGGAGCGAATAGAGGCTTGACTTCATGAATTGAATTTCAGTGGCCATGCTTTATGAATAGAAGTTCTGAAAGTACATGATTCAAAAGTTTGAAGTCTGTGAAGTAGTAAAAATCTCAACAGCACACCAGAAGATGTTAACTGAGATCCAAACCTTTTGGTTTTGGGGGGGTTAATTGAGATCCAAACTTTTGGGGGGCTATGCGACATGATATATTTCTCATTGCCTGCAGGTCGAGACAAGGTGGGAGAATCCCCTCTCCTAAGCTCCTTCCAATCCATGGCCATTACCGAGAACCCTGAAATACCCCAGCCCTCTCCCCCAGCCGGCACCCGCGATCAGTTCTCACCGGAGAAAGAAGACGTCCCTAAGGAAGAAGAAAAACAAACGGAACACAACCAACAAAACCCCCCAACATACACCGATAAGCTCTCCTCCGTGGCAACCGCCGCCAAAGACGCCGCCGTCTCTGTCGCCGCCACCTCAACCGAATATACCAAGAAGATCGCATCCACCGTCCTCGACAAGGCCTCTGGAGCTTCGACTGCTATGATGGGCAAAGGATCCGCCAACGAGACTGAGCCTAAGCCCGATAAGTGGGTGTCGGTGAAGGAGTATATAGTGGGGAAGACGAGGCCTGGGGAGGAGGATAGGGTGTTGTCCGAGGTTATATCGGGTGCGATGAAGAGCAAGAAGCAAGAAGCCACCCTGGTACCGGAGACAGAAACAGAGGCGAAGGGGTCGGCCGAGGAGAGCGGTGGAGGGGGGATGGGGATGGTAGATAAGATTAAAGGGGCTGTGAGTTCTTGGATTGGAGCCGGAAGTGTAGCAGGAGGGAAGCAAGCATCGACAACAAGTGAGAGCATGGACCTCAAAGGTGAGTAGGGTAAACTTCGCAAGCCTTCTGACCTCCTCAGATATTAGTACACTGTATCTTTTATGTTTTGAAATTAGTTCCTCAGATTATTGAAGTTGATTGAAATTTTTATCAGGTCCCTTAATTCTTATAACTTATTCCAGAATTAGTCGAATTGCTACTAAAGACCGCCAAATTGTTTCAAATTAATCCCTTCAGTAAAGAGTAGCTTAGTAGAGTAGCAAAATATGAGATTTAATTGTTATAAATTATCTTAGAAGTAGTCCCTCGAATTACTGGAGTTGCTATTAAAGTCAGACAAATTGTTTCAAATTAATCCCTTCGGTCAAGAGTAGCTACTCTTAATAGAGTAGCAAAATATGAGATTTGGGGAAACTGATAAAATTACAATGTTTGAAAATCTAAATATTAGAGATATAAGGGACTGCAATCAAAAGAAATTTATAGATTACAGAAAATCTGCAGTGAAGTTTGTCGCATTATACTGCCATGACAAAAGTACTTTGAAAAGACTACTTGGTAAATTTCAGATAATTCTCTCTCTGTTTGACTTCTGTATTACCACTTTTAGTTAATTTAGGTGAAAATAATTTCATCTTGACCCATTAAAATTAGGGCTTTTCAGGTAATCTATGATTAAAATGCAGTGATTGTAGGTACACTACCTTCAAGTTTAATATTGACATAGAAACCACCTTTAAAGTGAGTTTCGATTGCAATCAACCACATTAACCTGTTTTTTATGAAATTTTTTCCTCGGTCACGACGGAAGAAACGACGACGATGACTAATCATTGGTCTTCTTCCTCTTCGATTTCTTCCTCGTTCGCTGAGACGATCGAATCCTAATCGCTCGATTTCCAATCCTCTCTCCAACGCGATCGACATCGATCGATCAATCGATCAGTTAGGGATTTAGACAAAAAAAGAATGAAGACAAAAAAGATAAAGATTCGAGTAAATAGGAAAGTTGAAAATATAAGTAAATAGGCCTAGTATTGATTAGAGGAGAAGGGAAAACCGATGGGAGTTGGAGAAGGGAAAACCACTTGGAGTTTCACGTTGGCTGAAGGGAGCTGTTGGTTATTTGATTAGGAGTGATCGTGGATCGTGGGAAGTTTATTTAGAGAGATAGTAGGGAGATAAGTTTTCACTGTTCAAAACTTAGGTTACTGTTCATTTTATCTTTTTTGTTGTTCTCCTTTAGTAATAAAGAAGTAGATGCATAATTAATATTTTATAATTTAATTATGAAGAATTCTTACCTGTAATTGCTGGACAAGATTCATGTCATGGCATCTGCAGAATTTCAGAAAGCACACTCAAAGTTTAATACTTACAAACTTACTACGAAATGCACCTTTAATTATCAAATAACATGCAGAAAGTTAGCACTCCGACCAGGTTTCTGAAAGTTGCACATTGAATTAGTTCAACTCACATATCATCTTGAACACTGGAAATCATCATCACAATTGGACTCCATGGCCATATTTGAGTTGAACAAGCATCAATGCTCCCTGATGAGTTTGAAATTGTTAATGAATGAAATATTTCGCAAATATGCATAAGGCTATGAAACTACAGCTCATAAGTCATAGTTCGCGTTAAAGCTGTATAAGTCAATTATTAGTATACAAATATGCAATTATCATGTGTAAAGTCCATATTTTCATCAGCCTTTTTAGCTAGCAAAACAATGTAAAATTAGTTAAACTTCTTTCGGGGTCTTTGAGCAACAAATTTCTTTTTCTTCATAATCTATTTTTACCCAATGTATAGGCAACATGATTCTGATCAAGAAAAATCCTATTTTGTGAAAAAGAATGTTGACAAAATTTGATGTAGGGATCAGCATTCATATCTGATTAACAAAATAAATCAGAAAAAAAAGAAAACTTTATTTCTCAAAGTTTACTTGATCAGTAACTGAGCATTAATTTACAGTAACTAACAAATCAAGCATTAAAGATAAAAATAAAACTAAAACATAACAAATTTCACAAAAATCTATTACAATCTAAGAGTATTCATTCACCAATCCACCAAATTGACGTACGATTTCAATGCAACTTCCAAAATCAATTCCAACTTCCAAAATTAATTCCTTCACCAGTTTCTTCAAAATCAACTAACAAATCAAAAAACAAATAAAAAAGGGGAAAGATCATAAAATCAAAGTTTGATTTATTTGGAAACTCTCGTTCTCCTCAGATCTCGCGATCTCATTAATCGGTTTCAACAAAGAAACTCTCGTTCTCAAACTAAAAGTCGTTTGAAAACAAACTCAAATTGATGAAAAAAATAAAAAAATGGCGAAAATTACCTCCTTAGGCACTGCTCGATCCAAACAGGGCACTGCGACTTCAAACCCGAACCTGAATATGATGAGCTCCTCCTCTCAATGGCGACGATGGTCAGATCTCTCTGTCCCTCTCTTCATCGACTTCCTCGTCGTCGTCGAGATCGTCCTCGGACACCTCGACTTCGCCATCGTCGAGAACTGGACCAACTCTTTCTATTTCCCTTCCTCGATCACGACGGAAGAAACGACGACGATGACGAATCCTTCGTCTTCTTCCTCTTCGATTTCTTCCTCGTTCGCTGAGACGATCGAATCCTAATCACTCGATTTCCCCTCCTTTCTCCAACGTGATCGGCATCGATCGATCAGTTAGGGATTCAGACTAAAAAAAAGAACGAAGAGAGAAAAAAATAAAGATTCGAGTAAATAGGAAAGCTGAGAATATGAGTAAATAGACCTAGTATTGATTATAGGAGAAGGGAAAACCGCTGGGAGTTTCATGTTGGTTGAAAGGGAGAAGTTGGTTATTTGATTGGGAGTGATCGTGGATCGTGGGAAGTTTATTTAGAGAGAGATAGTAGGGAGATAAGGTTTTCATTGTTCAGAATTTAGGTTATTGTTCATTTTATCTTTTTTTTTTGTTCTTCTTTAGTAATAAAGAAGTAGATGCATAATTAATATTTTATTATTTAATTATGAAGAATTCTTACCTGTAACTTGCTAGACAAGATTCATGTCATGGCATCTGTAGAATTTCAGAAAGCACACTCAAAGTTTAATACTCACAACCTTACTACGAAATGCACCTTTAATTATTAAATAACATGCAGAAGGTTAGCACTCCGATCAGGTTTCTGAAAATTGCACATTGAATTGGTTCAACTCACATACCATCTTGAACACTATGGAAATCATCATCACAATCGGAGTACATGGCCATATTTGAGTCGAACCAGGCATCGACAATGCTCTCTGATGAGTTTGAAACTATCAATGAATGATATATTCGCAAATATGCATAAGCCTATGAAACTACAGCTCATAAGTCATAGCCTGCATTAAAGCTGTATAAGTCAATTATTAGTATACAAATATGCAATTATTGTGTGTAAAGTTCATATTTTCATCAGCAAAAACATAAGTCAATACTCCGCGTTAAAGTTGTATAAGTCAATTTTTAGTATACAAATGTGCAATTATTGTGTGTAAAGTTTATATTTTCATCAGCCTTTTTGGTTGGCAATATAATGTAAAATTAGTTAAACTTCTTTCGGGGTCTTTGAGCAACAAATTTCTTTTCCTTCATAATTTATTTTTACCCAATGTATAGGCAACATGATTCTGATCCAAGAAAAATCCTATTTTGTGGAAAAGAATGTTGACAAAATCTGCTGTAGGGATCGGCATTCATATCTGATTAACAAAATAAACTAGAAAATAAGAAAACTCTATTTTTCAAAGTTTACTTGATCAGTAACCGAGCATCAATTTACAGTAACTAACAAATCAAGCATTGAAGATAAAAATAAAACTAAAACATAACAAATTTCACAAATCTATTGTAATCTAAGAGTATCCATTCACCAATCCACCAAATTGATGTACGATTTCACGAATGCAACTTCCAAAATCAACTCCTTCACCAGTTTCTTCAAAATCAACCAACAAATAAAAAATAAATAAATAAGCCTACAGCCTTCATGAAGATTTGTTGGAGCACCACTGGCATATCTGTAAATAAATTCCTTAAAAATAGGTCTCACATTTCTAGATAGATTGATTTGACGGTTAGGAGGTGTTCCACACCCAAAATTATAATTAACTACAATTTCAATTAGGTAAAAAGGTTATTTTAGGAAATATAATTTAGGAGAGAAACATGATTAGTTAGAACTCTCCAACCAAGTATTTACCGCGTTATCATGTAATTCTCCAACTAACCGAAGCTGTAGGCAAAAAAAAACATCCGCCCAAAAATTCTCTTGAAGAGAACGCCATCAAAGTTCTCTTGAAGAGAATGCCATGAAAGTCTCCAACTGATCGAAGCTGTAGGCAAAAAGAGAAAAAAAGTTCCACCCAAAAATTCTTTTGAAGAGAACGTCATCAAAGTTCATTTGATCTCTTGAAGAGAATGTCGTGAAAGTCTCCAAATAACCGAAACTGTAGGCAAAAACAAAGCTCGCCCAAAAATTCCTTTGAAGAGAACGCCATCAAAGTTCTCTTGAAGAGAATGCCATGAAAGGTAACTCTTTTTCCTTTCTAAAAAAATTTTAATTATATAGTATGATGTAGTCATAGTATTTGCAGTTAACCCTCTTCATTTGATGCAATCTATTGACTAAATTAAAAACATAATCTCTATGTTTATAAGCTAATTAATCAAGACGACTACAATTTTTACTACAGAAGCTCCTACAGTTTGCATGCATGCGCTCTATCACACATGAACACATGGTCATGCTGCAAAATTAAAGACTTTTAGTTTAGGTTCATAGTTCAAATAGTCATAAATTCCATCATCTAAGATTTAAAACTACACGATGCTGAACTAGTAAATTGATGTTATCTAGCCTATGGAATTATCTGTGATGCATTATAAACTTTTATTGACTTTAGTTGAATGGAAAAAATAAAGTCACAATCAAAATAAAGTCACAATCACATATATTTAAGTGATTTATTTAGGAGTTATAATTTTATTTTTCTTGTACTTATTTTTGATATTTAATTGAAATGCAGAAAATGTCAAAGAGGAGTCTATTGGTATTTATTGCAATCCAACAAAAATGTTCAATATCGTAAGTGGCTTAACAGATGTACAAAAACAAGCAATAGTGGATATGGGTTTGGGAAGTATTTTATATATTCCTGATATAAGAATGCGTCGTTGTCATTGTTATTGGTTAATGATTAAGGTAAATACAGAAATATGTATAATCAAAATAATAGATTGTGAGGTGTCACTCTCAGAAAAGGATGTCGTTTACTAGATGGGATTATGTGTTGAAGGTGATATTGTTATGCTTTGCAATGAAAGTGTTGACCCAGAAACTTTGAAATATTATGTTGAACCATTCACGAAGAAAATTACAACCAGATACCTTATAAATTGTATTAGCTCATTTGATGGAGCAGATGATCATTTTAAGAAATCCTTTGTGCTTCTATTACTGGGACTTGTGCTAATCTCCTATAAATGATAAGGATTATATACCCCAATATTATCTAAATATTCTGGTTCATGTCAAAAAAAATTCTTCATACAATTGGGCTAGATTCACTCTTGACTTTTTATTTTCAAGCACTAAGTCAGAGGAACAAAGAAGTAAAGTATGTAAATGAGTGTATGCTTCTGTTACAGGTAAATTCTTTAACTTAAGTGAGCTAATATTTTTATTTTTACTATTTTATCTCATAATAACTATATATGCTTGTCATTTATATTAGCTATGAGCTAATATTTTTATTTTTACTATTTTATCTCATAATAACTATATATGCTTGTCATTTATATTAGCTATGGTATTATGAGCACTTCAGATTTCTTTTATCTCATAATAACTATATATGCTTGTCATTTATATTAGCTATGGTATTATGAGCACTTCAGATTTCTAGGTAATGACTTTGATTACAATGCTAGAACTCTTCCAACAATGGCACATTGGACTGAGAAGTGATGTGCATCAAGAGAGAACTATGAAAATTTATTTGGTCGTGCTGACAAAATGTATCATGAATTACAGGAAAAAAGGTAGATGATTAGTTTATTTTTTGGATTAATTTATATTATTTACCCAAATGTGCATTATTAATGTTCTCTCTAATTTTTTTTTCTTTTGTGGGGCGGAACAGAGACAGGAGAAAGAGAATGATTGCATTTAGGATAGAAAGCAATTAGAAGAGAATTTTGAAAGACTAAAATACTCTTTCTTATTTTAGCTCATTTGTTATTTTTGTCAATTTAAAAATTAAAAAAAACTTATTTTTGGAGCACCGAAGCAAACCTCAATAAAAAAGGAAAAAGATCAGAAAATCAAACTTTAATTTATTTGGAAACTCTCGTTCTTCTCAGATCTCGCGATCTCATTAGTCGGTTTCAGCGAAGAAACTCTCGTTCTCAAACTATAAAAGCCGTTCGAAAACAGACTCAAATTGATGAAAAAATAAAAAAAAAGGGCGAAAATTACCTCGTCAGGCGAACACCGCTTGATCCAAACAGGACACTGCGACTTCAAACCCGAACACGAAAACAAATACAGCACCCGAAAACAAATACAGCACAAGATCGGGGAAGTTTATTTAGAGAGATAGTAGGTAGATAAGTTTTTCGCTATTCAGAACTTAGGTTGCTGTTCATTTTATTTTTTTTTGTTGTTTTCTTAGTAATAAAGAAGAGGTAGACATTATTTTTTTTACAGCTAGAGAGGCCCAAATCTTGTCTCACAAATACAGCACAAGAAGCAAGTCAGGAAGGCGGCGGTTCAGTCGACACGTACGTGTTTGGAAGGGGACAACGTTGTTGTGGAATTCCGGATGAGCGTGAAAACGTGGAAGGTCGTGGTTGCGGCACCTGTCGGTCCACTCCCGCAAACCTCTCGACTCTATCCCTTCCCTTCCCCTTGTATATATACCTCCCTCATCGCCGATGACTTCTGAAAACAAAGCGGGGGAAGTTAACAAACTAAAAGAAAGCGATGCAGGCTCATCACCAAGAACACCCGCACGGTAAGCAGCAGATCAAAAGTCCAGCATCAGTCGTTTTGTCTCGTAATAATAACTCCATTAATTTTTTTTTTTTTTTTTTTTTTGAAGATGAAGAAATAGGAGATCAGGGGCATGAGAAGAAGCCAGTGATGCAGAGAATGAAGGACAAGGTGAAGAAGCCAGTGATCAAGATGAAGGAGACTATTAACAAGAAGATGCATCACGGTCATGACGATGGGCATGACGATGAACATCGCGAGCAGCGTGAGCGTGATGCCGAGGATGTTAAAAGCGACGAAGAGGAGGAAGGGTGTGATGCAGAGGAGAAGCCCGGCCCTGAGGTTCACGGCGCGCCCGGTGCGTACCCGTCTTAGACTCGCTCTACACTTAAATTTTTTTGTTTCCCTAACTATTAGGATCTTTTTAGAAAGAACAATTTTTCAAAACTGCCCCTTTTAAATTTTTATTTTTTAAAATCAACCCTATTTTTTTATTTACCAAAACCGATCCGTTTTTTTGATTACCAGCCTAATCACATTCCTAAATAGCCAGGTTGCCAACCCCGACTATTTAGCAGGGTGTTAAACCCTAATTAGAAGCTTTAAACCATACAAATTTAAGTCCTAAATAGTCGGGGTTGGCAACCCCGACTATTTAGGAATGTGATTAGGCTGCTAATAAAAAAACAGATCGGTTTTGGTAAATAAAAAAAACAGGATCGATTTTGAAAAATAAAAATTTTAAAGGGAATGTTTTGAAAAATTGTTCTTTTAGAAATTCTAACAAATCTCATCTTGTGATAGTATATTACAGAAAATAACTTTTGATTCAAAACTTTAGTATTGATTTAGGGGTTTTTTTTTTTTTTTGAAATTTATCCTGTAGATAGTATTTTATAGATATTTTTGATATAATATGGTTCTAATTGGTTTTTGTGATTGTAGTGTATGAGAGCCCTGCGACTAGTCATTTAATACTTGGTGGACAGAATGAGAATCTTGGACCAGGGAAGGTTGACCTGAGAGAGGAGAAGCCTGCGGCGGCGGCGGCCACAGAGGATCCTCCTGCGGCGCCGACGAGCACGGGTGACGAGAGCAGGCTCACGTATCCTTCTGCAGATAAAAGCCCAGAAAAGGCCAGTTTGGGGGGCATAATTGGGACCGTCGATGAGGATGCAGCAGCTGCTCCGAAGGGCAAGACGGAAATTCCAACTTCTGGGGGTGAAGAGAGCCAAGCGATGGCCTCTTCTCCTACCGCAGGTACACATTTCTATGTTTTGAAGTATTTTTTGAAGTTTTGAAAGTACATAATCAAAAAGGAGCGAATAGAGGTTTGGCCTCTTGAATTGAACTTCAGTGGCCATGCTTTATGCTTCTAGTCTAACTTCTGGTTCATTCAAAATTTTAGAGCCTGTGAAGTAGTAAAAATCTCAACAGAACACCAGAAGATGTTAACTGAGATCCAAACCTTTTGGTTTTGGGGGGGTTAATTGAGATCCAAACTTTTGGGGGGCTATGCGACATGATATATTTCTCATTGCCTGCAGGTCGAGACAAGGTGGGAGAATCCCCTCTCCTAAGCTCCTTCCAATCCATGGCCATTACCGAGAACCCTGAAATACCCCAGCCCCCCAGCCGACACCCGCGATCAGTTCTCACCAGAGAAAGAAGACGACCCTAAAGAAGAAGAAAAACCCCAACAAAACCCCCCAACATACACCGAAAAGCTCTCCTCCGTGGCAACCGCCGCCAAAGACGCCGCCGTCTCTGTCGCCGCCACCTCAACCGAATATACCAAGAAGATCGCGTCCACCGTCCTCGACAAGGCCTCTGGAGCTTCGACTGCGATGATGGGTAAAGGATCCGCCAACGAGACTGAGCCTAACCCCGATAAGGGGGTGTCGGTGAAGGAGTATATAGTTGGGAAGACGAGGCCTGGGGAGGAGGATAGGGTGTTGTCTGAGGTTATATCGGGTGCGATGCAGAGCGAGAAGCAAGAAGCCAACCTGGTACCGGAGACAGAAACAGAGGTGGGTGCGATGCAGAGCAAGAAGCAAGAAGCCACCCTGGTACCGGAGACAGAAACAGAGGCGAAGGGGTCGGCCGAGGAGAAGAGCAAGAAGCAAGAAGCCACCCTGGTACCGGAGACAGAAACAGAGGCGAAGGGGTCGGCCGAGGAGAGCGGTGGAGGGGGGATGGGGATGGTAGATAAGATTAAAGGGGCTGTGAGTTCTTGGATTGGAGCCGGAAGTGTGGCAGGAGGGAAGCAAGCATCGACCCCAAGTGAGAGCATGGACCTCAAAGGTGAGTAGGGTAAATTAACTTGCAGGCCTTCTGACCTCCTCAGATATTAGTACAATATATCTTTTATGCTTTGAAATTAGTTCCTCAGATTATTGAAGTTGATTGAAATTTCTATTAGGTCCCTTAGTTCTTATAACTTATTCCAGAATTAGTCGAATTGCTACTAAAGTCCGCCAAATTGTTTCAAATTAATCCCTTCAGTAAAGAGTAGCTTAGTAGAGTAGCAAAATATGAGATTTAATTCTTATAAATTATCTTAGAACTAGTCCCATCGAATTACTGGAGTTGCTATTAAAGTCGGCCAAATTGTTTCAAATTAATCCCTTCGGTCAAGAGTAGCTACTCTTAGTAGAGTAGAAAAATATGAGATTTGGGGAAACTGATAAAATTACAATGTTTGAAAATCTAAATAAGTTTGTCGCATTCAACTGCCATGACAAAAAAGTACTTTGAAAAGACTACTTGGTAAATTTCAAATAATTCTATCTCTGTTTTACTTGGATTGGGATCCTCTCCTCATCAATAGTGTTTCCTAATATCTCCTCATACATCTTTACCCTTCATTTTGTGAGACACACCTTTGCTTTTTTACTTGCCCACAAAATGAAGGGTGGAGATGCATGAGGAGATATTAGGAAACACTATTGATGAGGAGAGGATCCCAATCCGTTTGGCTTCTGTATTACCGCTTTTAGTTAATTTAGGTGAAAATAATTTCAACTTTATCCATTAAAATTAGGGCTTTTTCAGGTAGTTTATGATTAAAATGCAGTGATTGTAGGAACACCACCTTCAAGTTTAATATTGACATAGAAACCACCTTTAAAGTGAGTTGCTATTGCAATCAACCATCTTAACCTGCTTTCTATGAAAATTTGACTTGAATTTTTAAAATATCTAGCATGTAATATTCTAAGGTGGTTTTCATAAAACTAGTGTGCACCGGCCCCTTATTTTTTAAGTATTGCATTTTTAACCTTCTCGCTCTAAATTTTAATACATTTAATTTGATTATTGTATGCTTAAAATTAGAAATATCCACTCCTCTATACGTAAATTTTTGAGAATTTTCGACAATTCTGGATATTTTGAAAAGGTAAAAAATGATTTTGTACAGAATTAGCTCTTAAAAGAACTCTCTAAACTGAGGAAGATTTTGTACGAGAAATAATCTTGATTTTATAGAACAATGCCTTGTTTTTTGTAGTTTCTTTTGTTGGAGTTATGTGTGAGCCGGATTAACTTGTGCTGTCTGTCAATGGCAGGGAAAGAATAGTGGCCGGTGCAAGCTATGAAGGTGCTTCAGCAAGGAGAGGGAAGGAGGGTGGTGTTTATTTATTTATTTTTGCTTTGTGTTTATGGACAAGTTATCGTATATTTATTGTATACTTTTGTACTTCGTAGGACGAAGGTGGTGGTGTTGTATGTATACGTTCTGCTTAATTTTGTGCGTGGCTTCATGCTCTCTTGGTGAAATTTAACTTCTGTTTGTGTGCGGACCTTAGTCGATTGCATATAACTCGAGAAATTTCGTTTCATACCAAGTAGCAGCACTTAATAACCCTAGTTTGGGCTTCAGAATTAGACGGTATCGATCAACTTGTTCTTTATGGATTTGTGAGGGATTTGCAGCAATTCTTTCTTTAACAGTTGGAAGCGTGCATTGGCGGTTAAATCAGTTTGCCACTCGCTTAACAACAATTTCTTTCTTTGTTCTTAGTGAGGTTCCGTTGAGGAAAACCCCTTTATTAATCAATTTAACTCATCATCCATATACATAGTTGTTTTGATCCGCATTTAATTTGTTTTAATTCAGACCATCTTGATGTCCTATTAGATATCATATCCACTGGCGAGTTATCATAGACAATTTGTCCAAGCCTCAACTCTTCCAAATAATCTGTTGCCCTACACCATGTCTCATATCCCATTAGTCTCTACCTTGTCAAACAAAATCTTATATGTAATTTACGTAATTGAGGATTCGTAGGGATACAATTATCTTACATTGTTTAGATTTATTTGATGTATGTAAACCGATTATATGTACATGAATCAATCAATGAAATAGTTCTTATAACCTCTTTTATATTTCTTCTCTTTAAACTTCAGCATGGTATAACAATAAAGCTCTTCATCTCCTCAAGTGCTTTTCTAACACTTCGCCGAGGCAAGAGTTTCAATTGCTAAGTGTTTTCTTTTTAGCACTCTACATGAACCAAATAGAAGTTGTTCTAACTCAATCATTTGTTTGGTAGTGCAATTTT